TGGGGCCGGCATCCGCATAGCAACGCAGCTTTCAGTCGGTGAATGAAAGTTGATCGCGTACGAAAAATGCGAGTGCGCCAACGGTTCTGGCATAAATTTCGTCCAAAATATTTCACACTGTCGAAAACTGTGACTTGTTCGCTCGTCTCTTGTTACCAAACCATTGCGAACTCCATATTTTTTTAATGTTAAATTATAGCTTTGTCCAGTTTTTGTAACGTTTTGGGCGTGGGATGAATTCGCTTCTTGTGCTAATTTATTCGAGTAAAATTTCGTTTCCTCAACCATTCTGAGATAAATTAGCATGTTTTATTTCGCATTCATGAATTTCAAAGAGCTTGTTTGCAAATTTGTCAGAGATCTTTATCCTTATCATTATAAGCAATGAAATTTAGCCCAATGGCGCCTTGGACTAAAACGTGGTATTAGAAACTATAACAATATATGAATATACATTTATGTCATTGTTTACAATCAACTAAATTCTATAAACTTAATATGCACAAATTTAGATGACAACATATATTATTACGTGAGTATAAGTCTATAATGGATTACCAATTTTAGAAATAGCATGGATAAAAAAAATGTGTCGACCACATACGTAACAACAAATCTGAAATGTCAAATTCAAACTGCAACAGTACATAGTCGTCTTTACTTGGGATAATGTATAATATTTATTTATTAAAACTTTAATGCACATAATTTTAAAGTACATAAGGCGGACTTAACACCATGCGGTATTATCTACCAGTTGTTGACGGTGCAAATAAAAATATATTAAACGATACACATGAAAATATATATGAATAATATATTGCTATAGACAGTTCAAACAGTATTATTTTTCTTTTTTTATTAAGGCGTAATTTGGTTACTTATATAAGGAAGTATATATGCAGAACATATGACATAATAAATTAATAATGTTTAGTTCTTAGAAAATTGTATGTTGACTTTACAGGAGGTACTAAACGAATTAAATTCAAAACAATAAATTTTTTTTTAACATATGAACTCTCTCTTAATTCTTGTATTATTAAGATTCCTTAGATTTACAATAACATTATTATAAAAGTAATTTTTATGTCAGAAATATATGTAAATATTATAGAGAAGACTAATATAGGCACAGGCAATAAAGATCACTTCACTGTCAAACGTAGGAAATTCAAATCGACCAATTAAATCCGTGTGTAAATAAAGCTCGAGACTTTGGCCCAGCTTTCCCAGAAACTGGGTATTAAGAGCACTATCTTTGTGTTATTTGAATCCCGCAAATGCAACGATCTCCAGTGAAGTGCCAAAAGCGTGGGAAGTAAGAAGCGTAGTTTACCGGAATATTGAATAGATGACAAATATTGGAGGAATTTTAAAATTGTTTTTTTATGTTACTGAAATGCCAAACATGCTCCTTTAGCACATGATGGTAAATGGTAACCGTCGCTTATACATACATTATCACGAGCATCACTTTATCATGTGACCGGACGTGTCAGGTCTCTCGTATTTTAATTTCACACACATCTTATAAATCAAGCTGTTCAGCGGGAGACATAGGTGTAATAGATGCACTGCCCCACATAATTTTGTACCGACTACTAAGTTTTCATCGTTGAACAAATCTATATCTAAATATATAAAAATAAATCCCTACTTCCCTTGGTTACGGCGTCACGCGTGACCGGCAAAACTGATTTCCCTAATTCTTTTTTGTTGTGTTTGTTATTGTCAAGATTTATAAAAGAAAAAATTAAGAAAGTTGCGGGCACATTACAAAAGTTTATACGCTCGTTAAATTTCCTTTAATGTTTACTAACTATGTATAATGTGCAAAGTCAATATTCATAGTTAAAACAGGATAATGTCTGTCGTGTCAGCTAGTTAAATATAAAATTTCCCAATACGTTAATAAGTAAAAACCATACAGTCGTTTGGACGATAACAAGTAAATACCACTGTAGACATGTTATATAGATAATAATAAAAACACACACACGAAAAATATAAGCTTCCAATCTGGTAAAACTCGTCTGAATTTTGACGACAATCACCGCTCACGAAAGCACGGTATGCGGATGGTATTGACGGCACGTTCGGAAAACAAACAAAAGGACTAAATGAAGTTATTCTCCCAATCAACATACATTGCAGCTTTTGTATGTATACATGTTGAAAATTGTTAAGATCTTATCGAAACGAGGACATAAAAGTCGTGTAATCTAATAAAAGCATTAGTGCAAGCACCCATCTGCGAGGGTTGAATTAGATTGGGTCAGGGAAGTGACGCCGTGCGCGTTAAATAGTTTTGGGGTCGAGTCCGGGTTCTATGAACCGCTCATAATTCACTCCAAAATAAACTACAAATTATGTCATAAAGCAATCTGACCAGTGGTCGATTACACTTTGGTTGTACACAATATAATGTTGTTTTAAGGCAACTTAACGATGATTGGCGGTAAATATGAATTATAATTTTACTTCGCGATTCTTTCTAGTATTATAGTAACTTTTATTATAATATTGTTTCTAATCGTTTTAACTTCTCTGTGTGGTGGCTCAGAGAATATTCGAAATAAAAAGGATTTATTTCCAGTTTTCTCTGCCGAAATTTTATGAAATATTCTGGAACCAAAAATAACAGTAAGAAACTTCTCTTACAATAAAAGACTCGAACCAATCAGTGGGACAATGGGTTGTCATACTAATCGTTTAAAGAATCACCAGACTAATATTATAATATTGAAAGGAATATATCCCATCTATAAATAGGTCTGAATCGAATGGAAATCAGGGCAAAGGGATATAGGGCAGATTAGTAGGTGGGTCAGAAGGGCTGTGTGCATTCAACAATGTAAATCGAGACTACACAGTACACACAAACCTGCAGTTGTGTGATGCTCGTTAGAGAGGTGATAAGCGGAAAATCTAATTGCGTTCAGAGAAGCACAGATGCAGATAACTTTGTGTGCTCGATTGTTGTATAAATATTTGTGTACACGTTATTCTACTAGTTGTTTTCTGTGACGGCGGCCGCGGCTACTAACTTAAAAAAATATTTTCTCTTTTGTAAGAAACATACTCATAGCAAATTTATAGTATACATATAATCATTAAATAATATCTACAGATTATTAATTATGGTCTAAGACACGTTATAGGGAATATCTACCGTTATCTGTTATTGCATTATGACAATGTTTATTTGGCAGCCTACCTAGTATCTTCATCCGCGTGGAATTTAACTCTTTTTTGGTAACAAATATAATTTCTAAAATAAAAGTAGCCAAGTTAGTCCTAACAACATTAGCTATCTAGTAAAAATTCCATCAAAATCAGTCCAGTCGTTTCAGAGATTATCAAGAACAAACAGACAGACAAAAACTTTATATCTACTTTCTTATGCATTTAGTGAATAATAATTTTGAATTAAAACTGGCACTTTAATTATATTTATTTGTATGTGTATATAACAGGTATATTTATAAACGGCACATGGGTTAGCCGGCTACATCAAACAATGATATTTTGTCTAAACTATGAATATTATAGTCACAGTACCGCTTGCATAAAGTGGTTTGCATTACAGAAACCACAATTTTATCTAAGAGTTTTGGTTCTTACTTGAAAAATAATTTTGAAAAACTGTTAGCAAGAATTGATATTGGTTCATTATTAAGATAGTTTATTTATTTTAATCCCACACTATTCCAATTAGTAAAAGATAGTTTATAAGAATAATGTTTAACATATACTTCTGTGTTACTTGTTAACGAACTCTCAAAGTTTACCTCCCCTTAGACATGTATTATTAGATGAAACATGAAAGTCATTAATTCATTTATAGTAGATAACTGCAACTACCCATGTATGAACCAATATTAATTTAAAAAGTTATAGTGTCATTGACTTTACATTATTGAGTAAAATTTAATATATGTTCATTTCGAAAATGTTTTAATTCTGCATAGAATCTGTTAAATAGACTCAAGTTATGATAACCACTGAACAATAACTCAAACTAGGACCTTTGACAACAATGCAAACTGCAGTGGCAGCAGACAAAACCAGTGTCAAAGGGTGAGGTTTAATAAAAGATATATAAAAAAAAAAGAAGTCTATTTTTATAACACCAGTATCTATTTTTATTTGTTAATAAAACATGTGAAAATGTCAACAAGTGAAGTTCTATGTTCCTGAAAAGTGTTACAACTGACCCCATAGGGAGAATCACCATCTGGATTGTCAATAAAATAGGGAGGGTAATTTAAACTGGCATCATAAAAGAGAAGGCTCTCAATTCTCTTTTTTCTGTGTACATCCATAATATCATCACCAAATGTGTACCAATTTTATAGATTAAATTTAATTTTGATTATTTACTACAATGTTTTATGTACCACATAAATATGTCTTTATTACAGACATTGCAACAAGATTTTTCATGAGATGGAATTTTCAAATATGACAGCATACCACTATTTAATGTAATAATCATATTAAGTATTTTTTTGTATAGATTTATATACATATAATAAACACAAACATTCTATTAATAAATGAAAATTACTTTATTAAAGTATTCCTTACAATAATTTATATTATACATAATCAATAGGTTTTGTTCAATTCAGGTGCTTTTAAAAAGTTTTTTATAGGTATAAATAGAATATTAAAGATTTGTAGTATTCATGTTAGTTTTAGGTTATAAACTTTATGATGTAGGTATCTCTTTGATAAAAAACAAATATGACTGCAGACTATCATGTCAACAGAAACAAATAAACAGTGAAGATAAGTTAATACAAATAAATTAAACTAGGACCAATTTTATGTTTATTTCAAGAAGAAGCCATAAAACACTTTTAAATTTATAGTTTCATACAATAGGATTTTTTTTTCAGTTTAAGTTAGGTTATCTCTAAGATTTTAAATTATTATGGTAAATTTTGTAAGATAAAAAACAGAATCAGGTAAGGAATTTGATAGGTACTTACACTTATTTTTAGCATTCTCATCCATGAGCATGTTGAAATGGTGGTGGCGGTTCCAAGCAGCCATTTTGCCTTCGTGAGGAGCCCCGAGAAGCACCAGGGCCGCCCCGGCGGGCCCAACTCCGTCTAGGGGCTCCAGTGTCCTCACACTACAACTTTGTCACACACTCATAACCCAGGGAGCATAACAACACACACTCGCGATCAAAACGCCGTCTCCTTGGACGGCGGTGTCATCGGCGCCAAACGACGGCGCACATGCCTTATACACTTCCGCTACACGCACTTATGCACTCGCGGGTAAACAAGCACGATCAACACGCCAGCGGTGATTCACCTCGCGTCGAGTCAAGAGCCGCTGCCGCCACCGCGCGCTCCGCACTGCACTGCAGGCGGACTGTGGCGTGCGCCTGTTAGCAAACCGCAACCGACTGACACCCAAACACGCGTCACGTGTGCGCTGCACCCGGCAGCCCGATCACTTCGGCAACACAATCCCGCACTAATTGATATCTTATGTATTACCAAGAACAGCAATCACCGTTTAAAATTTCGATAAGCAATCGACGCAACACGGCTGTACCATAGCCGTGTCGTGTTATTTTCTTTCTTTGATCGAAACCCGTGTTCGACCAACTAGCTAGACAAAACGAACTCGCGGACAAAATAATAACAAATGTGCATGCGATGCCCCATGTAATAATGTGCACGTGGGTTGCGTCACAGACAGATACCACAAAATGTTATGAAATCACAGTAGCGGATACAAATGTTACAAAAACGCGACGGAATTTCTTTGAATGCAGACAGTGGCAAGCTAGCGACCGATTCTATAAATTCTTGAAATACGAATTACACTGTCACACACAGAGGTAGTAAATTGATTGATTGATCAAACGTTCACTCAGATTTAATAACAACACCATTAACTACACTATTTGTAAACAAATCACAGCGCGCAGTACATTCAGAAAATAATAAATTGAAATAGTAAACGCGAACGCGTTGATGAAGCGCGACAAATAGGACAAAACATGGCAGACTCGAAAAGCACACGAAAGTTGTCTGTGATCGTTTTATTTTTAAATGCTATCCTATGGTTTCTATTTCGTTCCATTTTACGAGTCAGAAATGAATTGATTTTCAAGTCTCAAATTTTACTCGCAATCCTTTTCTAATTACTATGACAATAATTAAATAAATACTTCAATTATTTACTTGCTAAAAGAATATATATATTTCTTTAATTCTTTTAAATTGAGTAATTTTAAATTATATCTTTTTAGTTTTTGCATGAAATGAAACATAGAAGCTTGTACCATAGACAATACAGGAAAATTAAAAAGGCACTGTTGCCATGGCAGTGTGACCATAATATAATTTTAATGGTTGGTACCGAGATAGTAGAAAAACAGTTCGATAGTCTAAAGGAACAGCAGAAAGTATCACAATAAAATAAGTTTATTAAATGATTTCATAAATCTGTTAGATATTTGTGCATAACTAATATTTCAAAGGTAGTATTTGCAATTTAAATATTGGGTTACATATATATAATAATTTGTTTTGATAGGAATTTAATAAATGTACATATATTTGTATTAGTTGTCACTTTTACGTAGTCTTTATTGTTAATATACCTATTAGTTCCAATATCTTTGTCCTCAGTCAGTATTAGCAGATAGGGAATATAACAATCTAAATACCAAATTGCATGTACATCATAGGAATAAAATACCACAACATAATTTTAATAATCCTGATTATTGTTTTATCTAATTTGGTCTTATTTAAAATAGGAGTTAGCAAACTGTAATATATTTTTCATAATAATAATAACCAACTTATTAATAATTAGTTGGTTATTACTATTTTAATATTTACAACTGTATAAAAGATTTGTATCATAAAAGTATTCATATCTGAAATTAAGCAAAAGCTTGACGACTAACTCGCTCTACTGATTAACACATAGATGCACAAAGCACAATTGGCCTGTCATTTTTTGTGTATTGGCTCATTATTATACTTAGTGGACTTTTATACAAACACAAATACACAAAAAAGTAAAGATTAGGTATTTCTTGGCTAATAATAAATGTTATGTGACATAATATAACAATTCATTGAATTAATTGGACAGAAATAAGTGATGAATGATAATTAGAATAACGCTGTATTTTGATATTTTATTGTGTGTACTAAAAAAACAATCATTACAATGTAGGTTTTAGCAACTGTTTTACTAACTTTAACAACAGTAGGTATGCAACATAATTATGATGATGTTAAGCGTTACCAGTATATGGTAAATATACTACAAATGGTAAAAGTAGAATAATGTATGATTATCTATAAAATTATGTACAGCATAGTCACAGTGTGTACTCACGCAGTGTGTTACAAAAATATTGTCTTAATTGTTTACACCACCACAATGTAGTATAAACATAATAACTTAATTAAGTTATTAATTTTATACTACCTACATTGTGGTTGTATACAATAATATACAGCATAATAAACTAAAATGTTTAAATATGTTATTAAGTATCTGTTCATGCTAAAATTTCTAAAATGAATTTTATATTTAATATAATGAATGAGTAAGTTATATGGGCATCACTTTCGTGGTAGAAATTGGTAGAAATATTTAGTGTCAGTATCAACACTTTAAATGTCGATTCGCTTCCGAGAAGTTAGCAAGTATTGCCAGCTTTTAGAATATTTTGCATGTACTTCTAATTATTTTAACATAAATTATATTCCGATACATGGATGGTATATATTGATGCTATTTCTATAAGTATTCTCTTCGTCCCGTTTGTAGTGTTCTGTTAAAAATTATATCCATTGATTTTTCATTTCTTATTCTTTTTGTTACAATATACGTTGCGCGTTGTTTGAATTTAATCACACTGAACAGTTATTCCTTCTTTCTTTCCTGATTTTCTAGTTCGTCTGGACTTTGGTTCATAAACAGATATAAATTCCCGAATGGATCACTAATTTAAGCATTTTAGAAACCTGTATCGTTTTTTAAAGACATAAGTGAATAATATTTCAGGAATCACACAATTAGATTGACGTAAAGAAATCCCTAACATACATATTTTTATTTAAATTTGTAAGATATTAATAATAACCATTAATGTACCATATTTGCTCTGTGTAAAATTACAAAAATCCGGAAGCTCAAATGAAACGCAAAGTTGGACCTTAAAACATTTATTAACGGTTATTGACAGCGTAGTTTAATAATAGTGATAATAAATTCTAATGTATTGTACTTAGAATTAATTATCAGTTTAATTACCTTAATTAAAAGGGAAAATAAATAACAATCGAAAATGTTTAGGTGTATTCGATTATAATTTTGGGGTATATTTGTAGAGAAGTTGGCATCCCTTGAATGAATGAAAGATTGAATGGTAATGGAATTCAGTCAAAGTATGAATCATTGACTCGTAATATTTTGTCATAAATTTTCTCATAATTTTGAGAATAAGTTGTTAATATTTTGTATTTGTGGTTGTGATTACGAGACGAAAGTAATACCTGAACTTTCATAATTTGTTATTTTTTTACTCAGCACCTAAGTCGACGAAGAAATTGCTTCTTAAAATTTATCTATCTAAAAAATAAAGCGCGTGGCTGAGACTGATTTGTAGGTTTTGTTGTTTTCCTCATACGTAATTTGTACTATTGTCTTTATTTTCTATCTTTGTACATTTTGTATCCCATGAAAGTTTAAATTGTGTTTAATTTTTTGTTGTTAAAGGTAAAATGCCAAAACGCGGAGGAGGAAGACCTAGAAATTGGGATCATGATCATTTTGGTGAGGCCATTAATTATTTTCGAATATTTTTATTTCAATATAAAATGGAATGTAACATTCGTGCTTACATATAATCAATGCATATTCTTCTTTTGTATTATATTACAAATATTTTTAAAATGTTCCATAGAATTAATTACCACGTTGCTTTCACATTTAATTGTATTAATTTTAGAGCACGATGATAGAACTCATTCAAATAACACGCGACGCGTAAGCTTTAAAACAGGGCCGAACAAGGGTAAAAACAAATTCCGTAATTGGAAAGATCCCAAGCTTCTGCTTGATGATGACATCGACATGGGTGCATCTGGTCAGATGCAGCAACCTCGCAAGGGAACATTTAGAGGTCGCGGTGGTCGTCTCAACTCACCGGTCCCAAGAGGTCATGGCATACCAAGGAAGAAATTTATAGCTGGATTATTACCGTGGTATCAGATTATAATACCATATGGTGCTAAACATGAGAAAGATGTTATTCTTAAATCACTTATGAGTTATATATCTCCAGAAGTGTTTATACCTCATTATTACAAGATCAATGGCAATGCTGCAATGTTTTATGTTGATGATGTCAAAATTGCTGAGAAACTGTTTGAGGCTGACCGAAAGATTGTCATGTCGGATGGATTTAGATTGGTTGTTATTGTGCGTAATTCAGCACCATCTGTCACTGTTGACGCTGAAATGAAAGAGAAGATGAAACAAGCTATGGTTAAAAGATACAATGCAGCGACTAAAGCCTTGGATCTAACAAAATTCCACACAGACCCAGGTAAATTTTTGTTATAGTATTATATAGATTTGATTGACGGCTTGGTCTTGCGGTTTAGAGTACCACCTTACTTTTGATGGTTGCGGGTTTTAGTCCTCACATGGCACAAACATTTGTATTCCTGAGTATGATTGTTTGTATCAGTCTGGGAGTTTTCTGTATATAAAATATGTATTATATACTTAATAATATAATAATCTCAACAAGTACTCTTACTTTCTGTAGTAACACTATTACCAATTTATACTAAGGTAACTGGTAAGGTTGCATGATACTATGTGAAGTATGCAGTGTCTAGCAATAGGCAATGGTTAGCATTTACTTAATGGTCTCGGACAGTGCGGTTTCAGAGAAGCTTCCTCTCGTTTACACCTAGATTGTGGAACATGCTACCTGCCGAGGTTTTCTCACCAGATTAACGCATGGGTATTTTCAAAAAGGTTATGTTAAGGTTTTTAAGGTTCGGCAATGTGCATGTAACACCTCTGGTATTTCAGGCGTCCATAAGCTATGATAACCATTTACTATCAGGTGGGATGTATGTATACAATATTTAAATACCAGTGTTTAAGTAACATGGTGATGATTGTTATGATGTCACCACTATCTGGATTTGCCATTTCAGTTTTGAGCAGGTCATGTGTTAATATGATTTGATTGTTATATTTTATTTTAATTTACAGATTTAGCTGACATATTTTGTGCATTATTCCGTCCGATGATAATGTTGGCAGTCATTGACATAATTGCGGACAACATTCCTGACTTGGAAGCCTTAAACCTGAATGACAACAAATTACATGGGATGGAACACTTGAAGATATTATCAACAAAATTGAAAAATTTGAAAATTCTCTACTTGGCAGATAACAGGGTAAGAATAAGCATTAGTATTGGCCACATGAACTCATTACATCTGTTTAAACTAATTATACCTGTGAGCATGAACAGTAAGGAAAGCAAGAAAGACAGAAGCTAAGTCTTCTTTATAATAGACCTAATTGAGGATGATAGGTATAATAAAAAAATACATAACCCTGGACAATTAACACAGCGCCATTTATCCCAAGGTAACAAGGGCTTGTGTTATGGGTTCTAAACAACTTTAGTACAACTTACATAAATACATATTTTGTATATACTGTATAATATACATAGAAAACACCTAGATCGATACAAATAATCATAGTGATGTAAGTAAGATGTAGCAGTTTAGCACACCACTAGGTGTGCTAAACTGCTACATCTTCTATATAATATTGAATAGTCTAATCTTATTTTTTTTTATTCCAGATACCTTATGTTGGATCATTGGATGCACTGAAGTCGCTGCCACTGGTTGAGTTGTTTCTTACAGGAAATCCATTGGTGAACAAGTTTAATGATCACGAAATATATGTCAGGTAATATTTACATGGTTTGAGGTTGACACCTCATGGCTTGGAACTGGTCGCACTTTTGGGATAAAACTAAGTATTTAGTGTGGCTGATGGTGATATTTCGACGTAGGCATATGCATAAAGCATAAGAAGAAACAACAACTGCTGTCTGACATAATGGCTTATGCATAAGAAAAAACAGGGCATCTGCTATCTCACTTCACACTTTGCACTTGCAGATGTGGTGCTGCCCTGAAAAGGTATGCCATCTACTGGGTACAATAGTGTTTTGAAACCATCCCATCCCATTCATATATGAATAATAAAATTTCATCCAAATCTGTCCAGTTGTTTAGGAGTTAGGTGACAAACACATACAGAATCTATTTGTCCTTTTTTGCAAACACGATAGTGCATATTCAGGAATAAAATTGTTTACCATTTACCTATGTACTATTGACAGGTTCTCTTACCTGATGTATCATGTATTTCAAAGAGGAGATTTATATGGAGAGACGATTCTGGTGTTTGCTAGAAATTATAGTAACATTTGTAGGTAATTTAATGAAAGAACCTACACCAATTAATAATTGAATCATTTCTTTTGCATTTTATTATCTAATTGAGCTTTGTATAACATCTAATGTTAAATATCTATTTGAATAGAATCAAACAGTTTGACATTGTTTTTTTTTTGTGTATACTATTTACAGCCACTGCGTCTATTCATCTGATGGGCGCTGTGAGGTTAAATCAACTAAGATTTTCAGTAGCCCTGTACAGAATGAGGACGGTATTTGATATAAAGGACATACAATCAGAGTTGTTGGTCATGGCATGTCCTGTAAAATCTTAAATATATTTATTGCTACATTGACTACATAGGATTAGTAAAATGACATTATTATATAGTTGTATATATATTTCCATGAAGACCATTGAGAATAAAATTGATTAAGTGTTCAAATAATGGTTCATCCATAAATTTACGTCACGTGTTAAGAGGAGTATGTTCATGCATAAAATTACGATGGAGATATACTTCAGTATGCGTTCTATCTCTATTTAGAGACCTCACATCTCCTTTTAACCAAGCGCACAAATATTTACGTTCCGTTGTACTTCCCTTACAATAAATACAGTAAATAAAAAGGTTTTCTTTTCCTTTTCTGAAAATTCATTATAAATTCAAAGACTTGCACGTTTTTTTTTAATTTTTCCATTGTCTTGGATTGTTTATAAGAATCAGCTATACATATATCATTTATTTTTAGTGACAATACAGTTTTTCAGTTACATGTAATTATAACTTGTTTAAAGGAAATCTGAATAGTTTAAACGTTGATATTAGTTCCCTTAACTTTTGTATAAAATTTCATCACTTTTACTTAATTATTGTAGAAAATTGTCATAGTTTTGTATTGTATACAGTTTTAAGGGTTATTATGAAATTAGAGTGACTTCATTTATGGATGCCCCTAATGGATTATTCAATTTTATTTTAACTCCAATTTATAATTGGTTAATTATTTTGAAATATTGTATTTTGAGTTAATTTTAAATGTTAATTTAACTACATACATAAATTGCTTTCCAACCATTGAATGATTTCTATACAAATATATACATATATATTTCATTATTATGTGAAGTGAAAGACCACATTATTTTACTTTTATTTCGTATTTATATTACCAAAATTTATATCAATGTACAGGAGTTAGCTTGCTTTATCTACACTAAGTAATATACGCTATAGTTATGTATATTACATTATAAGATTTAGTTGACTATATCTGTTTTACTTTCTTTTAGTAAATGTTATGTGAAAGAATGTATGAATATATTTAACAAATTATGAGATACTAATGAATGTTGTTTAATATTCTGTGGTCTCGCAAGAGATAAGGAGAGATAAGCATAACTTTTATCATACCCTTTATTTATCAGTTTCACTTTTAATCGTGATTCCGTGAATGGAGCAATAAAAGATGACGCTAATTTATTTTAATGTCATCTCTTATATAACTCGTATACTTTATACAATTTATATCGTATATTTTATACAATTTATAAGCTTTTATACAATTACATTTTGTGTACAACATTCAACATTGCTTTGTTTCATACATGGGATCACGAATATTAGTCACATGAAAGTGAATTATCAAATTAAGTATTTATATTTAGTCATCACAGATATATTAAACAACATTTTATTAATCAAAATATATATAAAAACCTAATTATTGATAATATAGTATTTGAATGTATCGAAATATTTATTAATTATACTTTATAATAATCTAACCAACTAATGAGTAAAGTGCAATATAAAATGTACTTACTGTTAAACGGGTAAAGTATATAATTTATCAGACGATTGCCGTCTAACCGTGATGAGCTCTTCAAAACTTAAAACGGAATTCTGCCCGTATAACACTAAGGTTTATTTTTTATTGCACTCATATAATTTTATTTCTACGTCCCATATAATATAGGCGTTACATTTAGCTTCACGTTAAATGAAAAAATAATTTAAAATGTAAACCATTTACGAAAGTAGAGTTGAAGTGACCAAAGACTGGATTTTATTAGATGACGCAAATATTTCTACATGGCGGGTCAAAACTTTTCCCAAGCCTGCTTACACACAGCTTAAATTAGAAAAAAGAGCAATCTGAATTGTTTTTTATTTTAATTTATGCGATTGGAAGAAAACCATATTATGCCGTATATAGCAGTATTATTATAAATAAAAATAAAAAATATGGTATATTTAGTTTTTGTGTAGATGGAGATATTTGCGTCGTCTACTTCTATTTGCCTTTGTTCCCAATTCTACATTTGTCGGGATGTTGCTCTGTAACTATTTCCTTTACCTGACAGGTCTGATATAACGACGATTTATTTGTCGTAAATTATAGTTAGAACTGTTTACACAAATATTAGGTTACGTTAAGAATTAAACATGGGAAAACAGGTATGAAAATAGTTACAGTGTGACGATCAAAATCTACATCAGATTGAAATAAGTCACTCCTCTATTTATGTTCTATAATATTGAACTTATGTTCTATAATTTGAAATGTAATTTGGCACATATATATTTTTGCATATTCTGTGAACGTCAAATACTATATTACAATAATTTTTTGTTAAATGTTTTTATATATGATTTATAGCTTATTTATATATTAATTATTTATCTGAGACTAACATGCATTTGTAAGTTTCAGAGTTTATTGTCTTTGACATTTGTTGTCCAATTGTTTTGTCTCCAGCGATGTCCGGAAGAAGTTTCCTAAGCTGACAAGACTGGTAAGTTTTCTTATAGTCTCCATTTTAATCGAATGCAAATCGTAACACTGATTATTTTTTATTATTACTGTTCTTTTTTTTTATGTAATGCAAAAATAATGGCAAATAAGCTTACGCCCCACCTGATGGTAAGTGGTAACCGCCGCCCATATACTCATAATCTAATCTGTGTAACAGATCTTATTCTTTTTCTTTGTTTATATTGTTTTATAGTGTTCGACTGAACTCTATGGTAATATATGAACTTGTCGAGCACAGTGGTCTAGCGGTTTAGCACACCGGTTTAATTCCGATGGTCGCAGGTTTGATCAGCTTGGAACTAGATAGCACTGTGTTGTGGAATTGTTCAGGCTTATATATATGAACTAGTATGTATAATATGTTGAACTAAGCTGTTATATATTTCCAATGACAACAATTAGGATGGAGTGGACCTGCCCCCTGCAATCGGCTTCGATGTGTCAGAAGATGTCGCACTACCGTCACACCAACAATCATTCCTAGTGGACCCAGCTGGCCAGGACCTTGTCAGAGAATTTTTAACTCAGTTCTTTGCGATATACGACTCAGAATCGCGACAACCGCTGTTAGAAGCATATCATGAACATGCTTCTATGTCCATGGCCGCAAATTACTTGAGTAATGACGGCAGGAACTCGCAGTCAACTAGGTGAGTAGCTGGTATTTATTAAAATAATTAGTGTAGTGTTTGAATATTCTTGGTATTGAAAAATTCGAAGCTATAAGAGATTTTTTTAACTTGCTTTACAGAAAAGAGTCTTTTACCATTCAGTACTGGTTTTCACATATCCATTACGAATTAGTCAGTAGTGGACTTTATATGAAAATATCTTAATAAAAATATAATTGTAAAGAAATTTGCACATATCAGTATAGGGTTAACTATGACCTCAGGGATCACCTTCTTTAGGAGATTCTTCTGTACCTATTAAATTTTGTTGTATCTTCATATTTAGCCGTAATAATATTTAGAGCGTTGTATCTCCATCATGCCATCATAGATATAGGTCATCTATGTACTCCTGGATGTAGATTCTTCGAGAGAGAATGGTGCTTTGGGATTTGGGGGCCATATTATTGCTCCTTGTTATTCGGAAATTTGTCGTCAAAAGTGTATAAAAAATCTAAAAAGATTTTATGCATTGCTTAATTAATTACCTACTGAAGAGTATTTTATATATTTATTTTGAAGGACGAAAATATACTTTATTTATATTCAATAACTAGCTACTCGCTACGGCTTCGCACGGGTGTAGATGAATTATATATTCCCTAGACTATACCTTCCTCTAGAATCACTCTATATATTAAAAACCGCTTCAATATCCGTTGCGTAGTTTTAAAGATTTAATCATACATAGGGACAGACAGCGACAGCGACTTTGTTTTATACTGTGTAACGATAATGATGGTGATTGTTTATTTTAGGTTGAACGCGTATATATCAAACAGTCGAAATCTAATACGGATAACAGAGCGAGAGTCCAGGAGACGACACCTCAAAACAGGCCGCCTACAAGTTGTCTCTTTCCTCTCCGATTTACCAAAGACTAAACATGATCTGATGGGATTTGCTGTGGATTTAATTGTTTTTACTGTAAGTAACTTTTATTCTATTTCTCAATTAATATTCGGCATTCTTATGTCAAGATATTTGTTGCTAACAGTCCTGCACAAGTGGTGAATATTCTAGAATCTCATTTTGTTTTTAAATAGGCTGATGGTTTGTTGGTAAAAGACCATTTTACTACATAGTTGGTTAGCGATTGATATATGTGACACAGAGATAGACAGTAACTGCAAAGAATGGATGTTTGTTACTATTTCATGCAAAAACTACTGAACAGTTTTTGATGAAATTTTACAGTAATATAGTTTATAAACAGTTTTCAACCGAAATATACATATGGTATATATATAGTTTAATGTAATTTGTTCTTTTAATTTTGCCCTCTTTGTTATTTCAGCTTAAATATATTATACTATAAAAGAGTTTTTTTTTCATAGCCAACAATGATAGTGTTAACAATGAACGGCGTGTATAAAGAAACAAACACAACTGGCAACCCTACGCGATCTTTTCATCGTACGTTCGTAATCGTACCCAACCCCACGGGTGGATTCTGTGTTGTAAACGATCTCCTTTATGTGACAAATACCACTAAAGAACAGGTAATTAAAATTGCATACTAAATAAACAAGCATAATGTAAAAAAATGGATCGATACTTGATTTTTTAAAATAAGTGTTGTTTAATTGGTATACTTGCTTGCACTAACGATATACGCTGGTGGGGCTCCTGTACTAAATGGTAAGAATAATCATGAAGTCAGATCTCTTAGTCCCTAGCGGCATATCCACGAAAAAATAACGAACGTTTTACGTCGTATAACTCGCTACCTTTTATCCAAATTGGGTTAATGAATGTAATTAAAAAAATAAAGATATTATTATTATTAATTCATTAGGTTGGACTTCTACTTTCTTCTATGACAAATGATCATAAATATGTCCAATATTTATGACCACTTATGCCAGCATCTTCAGTCATTTCATTTTGTGTCAGTCATTTCCATCCTCTCATCACTTTCTTAGTTGCATCCTCTATCAGGAGTGCTACAAACTAGTTTGTCTATGTTATAATATATCTTTGTGTTCACCTGTTGCTTAATACAATTTCTAGGAAGATAAAGCGTTCGCAACAGGAGAATCGTTACCGGCATCTGTGCCTACGCCAGCTGCAGCCCCTGCAGCTGTGGCCGCGGCTCCAGCAGCTTCAGATGATACGAGGAAGATGATGCTCAATATGCTAGGCCAGCAGACCGGCATGAACGAGTTCTGGAGTATGAAGTTAGTACAACATTGAAATATTACAAAGAAAAATTACATTTAACATATAATTTAGTTTGTCCCGTTGTCACTAGATGGCGTTGTAGAGAAATTAGATGGTGCTATTAATTTATTTGCTTTTATTGATCTAAATTTTGTATAATGCCATCTAGTGAGCACTGGACAACCTATTGATGATAAGATAATGTTTGACAAAATTTGGCTATGGCTCTGGGACTAGCAGTAACATTACAGCATAAGAGGCATGACATCTTAGGCCTCCCTTTTGGCCCATCACATGATTACATGATCTTCGTATTGCAGTTTTATGACTAAAATATATATAACTACTAAAAAAAACATAAATATACAATGATATCAGAGTAATTATCAACTGTTGATATTGGTTGTGGTAAATGCAACTCTTTATAGGCTCAATTTCGCTGAGTATATTTGAATACAAGATGGCAACTGGTGAGTTTACTTACCATCTTGACACAAGTTAGTTTTTTTTGTGTCAACCAGATCTTAACTCACTGCCTTATAGGAGTAAATCTAGGTTACAATATTCTCAAAATACAGAAGAACCACCGTCAAGACCAGTAGGTAAAAAATTTTACTTGTAAAGTCTGCTGTGGTTGAGTTCTTTTGGATTGAGATAGGCCAAATAAATAATGTGTGCATATTATTTATTTGGCCTATCTCAACTCAACCCAACAAACAACAACAAATGCAGATGAAAATTATAATTTCTTTAATATTTTATATAGACATTTCTATACAATTATCTCAATTTGTATTTCACACCGAAAAATATATCGGAACCGTAATCGATAAGGAGGTCGTATAAACTGGTAACAACTGTATTAATAATCTCAATATTGGATCGAAATCATAATATATGTTTTCCTTACAGTTGTTTGCAAGAAACAGGCTGGGATTTCCAGAGGGCGTTATTTATATTCAATCAACTTCAAACTGAAGGCAAAATACCGCCTGAGGCGTTCGTGAAATGAGATAACGTGACGTCATACGGGAATTAGGCTGTGCCGCTGTATAGTGAATAAGAAGAGATACTATTTTTGTTAGAATTGATAACTAATAAAATATATTGCTACTATAGAGAAGGAGATATTGACTTTATTAGCATAATTATATTGATTGAGTTGCATTGAAGATAGAAGCTGTTAACTAAGAAAGAAAAATTAACAATGAAGAAGAATTCTTATTGTTATTTTATGCAATTGAAGCGTAATAAATGTGACAGAGATTTGTTATGGAATTACTTCAAAGTAATGTTTAAATTCTGGTATACTCAAGAGTAACCTGAGAAAAAAAACATTGACGACAAGACTGGTTCATATGAAGTAAACAGTACACAAATTAACAAATGTTTATTTTGTACGAAAATTATAAGTGTTTTAATATTCGTAATGAAGATACTTGGCTGCATTGAAGACCTATTAAAATACAGACTTTACATATTTCTATGTAGTGAATTGCAATTTATTTGTAATATTAACACAGATTGTGGATCTTGTTCGATTTTCCAATAGTAATGTTAAGAATTATTTCTTTTTACATAAAAAAATGCATAAATTAAACATTTTTCCTGAGCATTATTAAAATAAAAATATATTTGGTGATTTTTAATTTTAATTCGGTGTATTTTGCTTATTACTTCAATTAACTTCATGCTCAGTAAGTATGTTTGATATATGCAATATATAAAAAATTGTTTAGTATACATCCATACTTAATTTGGCATTTAATCTATTTATTTATTTTATAAATGTTACTTGAACAGAATACAATAATAGATAAAATAGCGACAGTCAAAAATATTTTATACTTTTTTTTTTGCGTCAACAATGTAATAAATTTTAGATGTTAATAATTTTTTGTAATGTATAACTACGATTATTGTTTTGAATCGATAGTGTCACTAATATTGTTAATTACATGATTTGTAAATTAAATTTAGAAAAGAAAAAATATTTTCACCTCAAGACTTAAAAAAAAGAAAAAAAAACTAAAAAAATTTTTTTTCGTGCTCGCGTAATGCGTGATTTATTTGTACATATTAGTTTTTGGGGATTGAGCGATATGGGGATTTGATTGTGTTCGTTGAACATTGGTAGTTTCATGGTGTTGAAACAATGCTCAGTTTATGGGTAACCACTAGTTGTGGTTCCATGGTGTGGTGGATCGACCCAGCCTTATGGGCTACAGCGATGGAACCCCTATTTATCTTGTGGGCTAGTCGCTTGTTTCAGGGGTCAACCATGGATGTTTGCATCTTTACTCCTTGCATTGAGAACTTGATTGATGTCCCATAACAATATCGCTCATGGGGGCGTTTAGGTTCTTGTTAAGAATTACCACTAAGAAGTAGTTAAGATAAATACATTTTTTTTTTAAATTAAAATATGTTTTATTATCTTTTGTTTCTTCTAAAAGTTTCTATTGTAATCCCTGTGCCAGTCGTGAATTTAAGGTTTATTAATACTAGTAGTCGCCCAGTGGTCAAATATCAACCTATAATGAATTAATAATAATTTTGGAAGTTGGAATAATCAATTTGTAAGTTTGAACATTATTAATGTAATGTAGTGTAAAAGTAAAGTAATGTAAAAAAAATATTGATTCAGTGTATTTTATATGCATAATTAAAAAATAGCATTCTGCTCTCCACTGTACTAATAATATAAACGTGGCAGTTTGTGATGGATGTTATGTGATGGTTACTCTTTCACACAAAAAGTACTGAACGGATTTTGATGAAACTATAGTTATGTAACTTATACATCAGAATAACGCATAGGCTATAAGTTTCACGTGGCACAACTACTTGTGTGCAAAATTTCATACTGCGCAATTTTCTTAAAAAGAGGTACAAAGATTTTAAATCACGTATTAGTATAATGATTTTAAGACTTACTGAAACTCAACATTATTAGATTCTAATGGAATGATGAACTCGCCTGCTCTGATAGTTTACGCTGTCGAGTCACCACTGGAGCATGACAAAATGAGCACGAAGTCAGGTCAGCCCATTTCGGTAAATGGGAATGAGTTTCCAAGGGAGCGCGTGGAGGTTAACCTGACATGTTACACTAGCAATGGTGTTATTAGTCCACATTATAACTATTTTTTTCCTCCCTATGTTACATGCTCAGATTACAGATGTGTATTAGTAAACCCTCAAAATTCCCAGAAACTTCAAATGAAAGGTCTTTCCAAGAAACCCCTATTAGAACAGGGTTGTACCTATTGTAAACAATATTTCGATAACATTGTTTGCTGTATACATTTATATGTTTGTTAAGCTGATAAATTGAACCTGTAGACGAGTATTATCAGTGGTACGTACTTACTAAACGTTCATTATGTACATAATAAACATGGTAATATATCTCTTCGCCGTCGTTTCTGTGAACGAGGTTGAACAATGTCCCAGATTTTATAAAAATGACGTCTTAACTAATATCCCAGAGAGGGTATGTTACGATAGTTGACATGAGTCTATCTGGTAGGTAATAATAGGAACGTCACTAGTCGTGCCCTAGTGGAATGCGCACACTGTAGCTTCATATATATAACGTATCATTGTTAACGACGTAGTAAAATATATCAAGTATCAATCATAATTAAATATATAATTTGGCAAAACTAATAAAATGTAGTCAGAGGCATTGTCAGCTGTCGACGTTGTGGTGAACGCAACATTTACCATGCTCACATTTCGCTGTTTTCACAAATATCTATTTGAATCAAAATCGGAAGAGGGTTGCTTATCGCAGATCGAATAACTTTTGTTAGTTATTCATATTTTCATCGCCGGAAGGACAGTCAAAAATTGACACAGAGTTCTTGGTTTCGCCCAGATTTGATGTAATAACTAAATGTGGGAACTAACTCACTAGGCCAGTTTGGTAATTTTGATTGTAGTACCTAGGTACGTGAAATAGTAGAATAGAACCTTTACGTATATAGAAGCGCATGTATCGTGTTTCTTGTTGACCGAAGATAACCGTAGCTACCAATAGAATTATTCTGCTAATGGAATTTTACATGTTACTGCATATTCTGTTTGTGACTGTAGATATCTCAGTAAATGCAAACATTCCATATATTTTCCCATTCCCAGATGGAATAGGAAAATGGCAGAAGCAATAAATGAAGTATATGAGCGAAGGGACTGGTGATTTGTTCTTAAATATTATTATTAAAAAATACTTTTTTTATATAAAAAAATATCAGATAGAACAAGAATATATATATTTTTCTCTATATGTAAAATAATAGACAAAGAAACAAATAAAATATTAAAAGGTACCCAAAATAATATCTCAAATATCTATATTAATTTACCACTTTATAATTAATTTATAAAGTGGTAAAGTTTGTGCGGTTGAACGATGTAATCTCTGAATCTCTCGAACCGATTTTGAAAATTTTTCTAAGTTATATATACGTATATATATTACTGCCTATTTATCAAGGAAAGTTATATGCTATGTAACATCACGCTGTGACCTGTACGTCAATCCATCTGGGATTTACGTATTTAGCGGATTGTGAGTAGGTATACGAGTATAACGGTATAACTTGGGTATTGCTTAGGTATATGTGGGAAGATATGTAGAATGTTAAGAGAATTTCCAGTAGAGGAAACATACGTGTGAGGGAATCCCTTTAAAATAATTATCGCATTTATTTGCAATACAACTCTTCTAATTATAGTAATTAATACCTATTCTACGAGTAAAGTCCTTCATACAAAACTGGAAATGTTTTCAATTAAACATACCTATTACTTTATTTAATATGCCTATTACAGAGTAGACTTTGTACATAGTAGTTTGTGTGGGTCTATCTGTAATAATAATAATAACCCCAGGACAAATCATACAGCGGAATCTAGTCGCGAGCGAAGAAGAGCTTGTGTTATGAGTACTAGATAACTTAGATAAATAGACACATATTAACTTTTAATAATAATAACTTTGGACAATTCACACAGCTACATCTAGTCCTGAGCTAAGCAAAGCTGTTATGGATACTAGACTACTGATATAATTACGTAAAAATATTTTTTTGTATACATATATAACAGTCATTTTCATAGATACAAGCGATTTTACCGTGGGAGGAACTGAATCTGCGACCATTGGAGGTAAAGTGGTACGCTAAACCGCTAAATCACCGATGTAGTAATTTATATTACTGACTGACTCTGTGGCGATGTAAACGCCGATATCTAAAGTACGACAGTAGGCTGGTTCATTGCGAAAAATAAGCAAAATGTGGTCAATTATAGCATTCACCACAATGTCGACAGTCGACAACGCAATGACTTTACTGTACTGCCCGGGATAATGATATATTTATTACTACAAATTAATAATAACCCTGGACACTTCACTCCGCGCCATCAAGTCAAGCTAAGCGGAACTTTTGTTATGAGTATTAGACAACTGATAGAATACTTACTATAAATAATTTCTTTTTGCAAATACATATAAATAAAATTGGAGTGTCTGTTTGTAATATTGAAATAACTACGTGTATATGAATATAAATAGAGTGCATACACCAAAATAACCTTTTTTACAATTTTTGTCTGTCTGTCTATTTATTTATTTATTTTTATTTATATAACTTTAATGCACAAAATACCAAGGTAAAAGTACATATGGCGGACTTAACGCCTTAAGGCATTTTCTACCAGTCAACCATAGGCTGTGCAGAGAAAAACTGTAGGCGGTGCAAATATAATTCAATAAAAACAATAGGTCAAAAAAAAAAAATTATACATATACTAAAAGTAAATACATGTAAACACGTGCATATACATACACAAATACATATATATATAATATATATCAATCTATAAATAAATATAAAATAAAATATATAAATCAAATATACCATATACATATCATATAACATAGTCTGACAATGAAAAAGTGAAAACAGGGAGCAAACGTAACAAAAGATAGGAAATAGATACGAAAGAAAGAAAAAAAAAAAGAAAAATTATAACTTAGAAAATGTACACACTAAAGAGCAATAAATAAGATAATATACATTCCATTATATATATAACAGAAAGGTTACATATTGGAATAATATTCTCGCAATTTACGTTTTAAAGAAAATCTACTCGTGGCGGTTCTGAGGGGTAAGTCGTTCCAAAGTTTGATAGCCTGAACGGCGAAAGAATAGTGGACGAAACCAGACAAATGAGCCGGGATATGAAGCAGACATTTTCTGGTCGTGCGAATGGAGCGAATGGTGTTGTCCCCATGGAAATGAAATTTATTTTTAATGTAATCAGGAGAATTAGGATCATGTAAAATAGAATAGAGTGTACATAGCATACGAATATTTCTACGATAACGGATAGGTAGCCATTTAAGCTGTGAACGAAAAGAAGATATGATCGAATTTGCGCAAATTAAAAATGAAGCGAATAGAGTTGTTGAGAAGACGATCCAATTTGTTTAGAAGGTCTACGTTCATGTCAGAACAACACACATCAGCATAATCAAGAGTGGGGAGAACTAAAGATTGAACAAGGATAATTTTAGTACTAATAGGGAGAAAGTTTTTCAATCTATATAAGCTACGCAGATAGTGATTTTACGGCTAATGTCACCAACATAGTTGTTCCAGTTTAGCGTATTGTCCATCAATAAACCCAAATTTTTCACTTGAGAACTGAACGCGATTGGTTGCTTATTGAATAAAACAGGGGATAAAGTGTCGAAGTTAATTTTACTTAGTTGTTGACTGCTTCCAAAGACTATTGCCTGACATTTGGAGGGATTAACAGATACGCCAATTTTTTTGGACCAATTGAGTATATGATCAAGATCAATATTCAATTGGCCGATAATATCATTGAGCTCAGATGCAACAGCCTGGGAGTAGATCTGGAGATCATCCGCATACAAATGGTAAGAGCATTTGAGACATTTAGTAATAAAATCTATAAAGATAGAGAAAAGTAATGGAGATAAAATACCGCCTTGAGGTACACCAGCAACAAGATCGCACCAATCCGACAATGCCTGATTGGCACGAACTTGCTGACGTCCACGAAGATAGGAGCTAAACCATTTAACAACCGACGATGAAAGCCCAAGATGTGAAAGAATAGCGAGTAAGACATCATGGTCAACGGTATTGAAAGCATTGGAGAAGTCGATTAAAATGAGAACTGTTAATTTAGAATGTTCCATGCCTTCCCTCACATCCTCAGTAATTTTCAGTAAAGCCGTAGTGGTGCTGTGTCCAGGGCGAAATCCAGACTGGAAAGGGCTTACTAAATTGTTTTTAAAAACAAAGTCAGATAGCTGACTATGGACCACAGCTTCTAGTATTTTGGAGAGGAAAGGCAGGATTGAGATAGGTCTAAAGTCTTTAAGATGTTGTGGGGATGATACTTTAGGTAGTGGTAGAACGAAAGCATTTAGCCATGCTGCAGGAAACTCGGAAGAAAGTAACGAAAAATTAATGATGTGAGTAATGATAGGAACTAAATGTTTAAGTGAGAGAGTAACCATAATCCTACTCACATCGTCCGAGCCAATACAATTAGACTTTATAGAAGATATTATCTTGTAGACTTCATCGTCAGTAACTGGTGAAAATAAAAATTCTACAGATAGTCTGGGCCATGAAGTTATCTCAGCTAAAGTAGTGGATTTCAGAGAATCACTCAAAGTGGGAACGGTGGAAAAGTGCCTGTTCAGGTCATTTAATGAAAATTGTGAGGTATAATCATTAGGCTGATTGCACAGCCCAAGCGATTTGAGAAACTTCCAGATATCAGCCGATGAGGAATTTTGTATATTAGAATGGATGAAACGGCGTTTAGCAGCTCTTACCATATAGTTGCAGCGGTTACGTGTTAATTTAAAAGTCTATCTGTCTGTTCTGGCTAATTCCTGAAATGGCTGGACTGAAGGAGTAACTTAGCCTACTTTTATATTAGAAAAAGAAATTTAAATTCTACCCGAACAAAGTCGCGGATGTAGCTAGTACATAATATAGAACACCCAGACCAATATAAACAGTCATGCTCTTGTATATAAATCTTTGCATATAGCTTATGATACTCACAAATATCGTGACTATCTACTAGCAAAAATATTATGAAAATCTGTAAGAGATTCTGATCGAGCAATGGAGTCACCATAGCTCAGACACAAATTCAAAATATCTTTATTCATGTAGGTCTATTACAGACTCGTATGATATGTGATAGTGATGTATTTACCTCGCCAAGTTGGCATCGACGTTCCCGCCCTGGAAATCATAGTTAATTCTAGGTATTACTAGATGATTGTCATGAAGGGCTAACTGACCTAACCTCAAGCTTGTCATATCATCTCGTCCTCCACTGGTGACCTGCGTATACCGTTGGCACAGTAGGCTACACTATTCTATTATGATCCTTTAAAAAAAATGTACTTCGTGTCAAGAAACTGTTCCAATGACTGCGCGTAACAAACTCGTCATACTTCTCGGGTAAAGCAAGTGCTGTAGCGAACGCACATTGATTATATCTTCTTTTTTAGAGTTCCGTATCTCAAAAAGGAAACACGTTTTTTCTAGCTTACGTCTAGACCGATCTGAATAATATCGTTGATCTAGGACAATTAACACAGTACCGTGTAGTCCTAAGCCAAGCAGAGCTTCTGTTATTAGTACATAGAAATACTCAATTAGATTTATTTCGGAAACAAATATTTCATGCGTGGAATCGAACCCGCGATTATTGGAAATAAGGTGTAGTTACGGCGCGCTAAACCACTACACTATGAAGGCATCTAAGAATGATTACCTTAATTAAGTAGCGTTATATTAGGTAATACAATACATAAGCATCATTTCACCATCACATTAAAAAAATATTCAAATAAAATCAAATTTATTTGCGATAAACGAAGGTTATACTTTTTATTCAAACTAGATATTTTTTACTTGGAACAAACATACGGAACAAGTTCAATTTTATTGTTATTTAAAGACTAATTAAATGAAAATATTTAGTTTCTATATAATCTACACGTCAATTACAGTAATTTGTGTGTTTATCTTGGCTATGATCTATCTGTACTTGGGTGACCAAGTGCCGCTCATTTACAATATATAGGTAATATATATATTTTTTAAATATTCAGTATTATATTTTTAATTGTCAGAAAATACATCTAAAAAATAAGCTTCACAAAATGCTATTGAAGTATTTATAGTCTTCATTAATTCGCGATATCTTCGTTGATGAGGTACTATACGTATTTTGAATATTATTTTTATAATCGTCCAAAAACAATCGTACACTTATAGTCAAATGGTAGTCTGTAAATTTTGCAGATGATTATTAAAATTTTAAATCGAGATTTGGTGTGTTTTTTGTACAAGTACAAAACATTTGACCTTTAACTGTGCACTTTATCTCTCGCCCTGGCCAGATTACGAATGAGGATCTGGTCAATCAGGTAACACAAAATATACCCGTATGACCCGTTGCAATGCAATGTTGATTACCTGATGAAACTGGTCAGCGCCTTATTTGGCTAGATTCTTATTGAAGGTTATTTTCTTAAAGAATTCATATACATATTGTAATGACTGAATTAAATTTAAAGATACTATATTTTATTATGATAAATAATTTCAGGATATGTTTGTATAGCTAAAAACAATAAGTAAAACTTAGTTACCTAAGTTTAAATGTTTAAAAATATTCGTATAAATAATTATAATAGTAATCTCTGCACACTTCTTGACCAGAGGTTGGCAGAGGAATAGGACCAGGAATATGGATACCCATTTATATAAGCGTCTTTTATTTCTTACACTGCTTCAAATGTCAAATGTAATTTAATTTTATTAAGCACAATAAATACCAATCTATATACATAGAACTCGCATAAAAAATGCGATGATGGAGAATTAAAAACCTGCTTTTGTTTTTGAAATACTATATTAAATACACGAATAAATTATATTATTTAAAGAAAATATTTTATTTAATATAAAATTTTAATAGTTCTATTATTATTATTATTGAGAACAACGAGATTCATTTATCAACAGAATAAATTTAAAATAAGCACTTTTCAATAGTCGCATCGCAAACTCAAGACAAGAAGGAAGAAAATAGCGTGTTACTCTAAATTAATGTTATTAACAATTGCATTTTTAGTATTTTTTTTGTAAATACAAACTGGCAAGTAAGAGAATGATTGAGAGATATTTAAAGTTCTATATAAAATATATACTATATGCAGCACAAAGTCTAACATCGTAAAATTTAGACATGTTTAAATATTTGTATTATGATGGTCGTAATAATACTGTGCATATAGTTGCAGTAACGAAATTCTCAAGATGATGCACAGAAAGTTTATGACATATACGATTACGCGTGTATGTATAAATGTGTAGTGTACATGTATTAACTTGTTATGTTTTCACGGCCCGCTGAAACATAAAATGGACTTGTCCAGATGTTTGCTACATTTTTCATGGTCTGCAAGTCATCGACCAATCACTCGTGCGCAGCGTCCGCAGCGGCATGGAGAAAGAATCTGCACTGTAGCATTGCAGTTTCCACTAATAATGAGTTATGTACATACATACCACCGTTTATTGATTAACGTCATTTAGAATAGCTAAATAAAGGTTTTTTTCTAATCGGTCACTATGAAATGGTGCACTCGCCTGCTCTAACAGTTTATGCTAGCGGGGTACCAATGGGTGATGGAGTTAGGTCAGTTAGCCCGTTGACCTATAGTGACACATGGGAATTCATGGTGGTTGGTTTCCAGGGGGAAACCTCCGCACGACCCGACAGAGTATATTCCTAGCAATGTGGCACCAGTCTACATTACTAACAAATCCCTTTACTCCCCGCAATTTTTTTTAATGGATTATAATGGTATGGTTCATCTGCTTGTGCTAAAGCTTTAGGCTGGAAGGGCATCGGTAGGGGATGATAGGATGAGCATGAGATCAGGTCATTTGTCTCATTGTGGAAAATTTACCAGGAATATATCACGATAGTTTCCAGGCGGAACCACATGGAGGTCAAGCAGACATGGTAAATTGGTCATTGGTCCACGTTACTAACAATTCCCTTCCCCCGCAAAATACAAGTTAAATATATAATTTTATTGATAACTTCTTCCCGTTATCTTGAACCGTTTAGTTTGGTCCGTAAGGTCTTTTAGTTCCCAGCACAGAGCAATTAATGTTTGTTAAATTCAATTTGTGTATCAAATTGTATGGGTTATAAAAAGAGACTAGTGGATTGTTTTGTTTAAAATGACGTGGGGTTACACGTTACCTTCAATATAGATATCTGTAAACAATTGTTTGATAATACATTTTCGTACAAAAATTGTTTTGTGCAATACAAAAACAATACAATACAAAAATTTCTTAGCGCAGCACTAATGGCTCATTACGGTATCCTAATTAAAAAAACATAATTTGATATGGTATATCTCAGCGTGATAGAATGACGTCAACCATTAGTTTATTAATAATACATAAATACAATTTATGGAACCGACATATAAAAATTATTTTGTTTTTTAATATGTCGTCTAACCTGTTGCGTTTTTGACGTAGTCAATTTCTGAGCTCAACAAAATAGAGTTGCTAAAATTATTGCCATAATAATCATACCTACCGATATTGATATTTGCAGTACATTTACCGTCATTCAAAGACGAATATTGTATATATTAAAAAAAAACTGATTAATAATATTCGTATCAATAGCGTAAACATTTTTAATATAAAAAATAATCTTTAAGATCGATTTCACAGAGAAAAAATAAATTTGAATTTAGAAGCTTTAGGAAGTCGTAGATAAAGGTCAAAAACCCCTAATATAGCCGTTTCTCAGCCAACCGCGAACTCCAATACACCGTTTTCCTAAATTGTGCCGATAGTGCGCTCCCACCTTAATAGCACTTGCTTTTACCTTGCACTATCTAGATTCACTTATCTCAAATACCCTCAAACAAAGAGTGCGTAGTCTTTCTGTGCAGCGCGTGTTCGCCGGTCGTGGTCTCTTCGTAGTTACTCGCTTTTGAATGTACATACTTGTTTTTAAGTGCGATTTGTGAATGAGTGCTTGTGGTAACGGTATAAAGGGACTAGCGGTCACTATTGGTCGGATTGTAAGGTGAGTTGAGCCCTTTGTATTCTCGGTAATATAGGTCACGCTGTTGCAACGGGTTAGCGCATTACGGTTTTGTAATGGCTTATGGTTTTATTGTAAGCATTACGTATAAATACTGGTATTAAATTTGAGAGATATTTTCTAAAGAGATTCCTGAGTTGGTATACATTTTTCCTACACTAATTTAGGTAAGATAAAAGTTTCTTTGTGCATTAGTGGTATCACATGCGTCAAAGTGCATTTTCTGATGATAATGGTAGGTAGGTTTATCGCCATTTTCAAAGTTCTTGATATAATAATAATAATAATTGTGCTATAGACTACTATATTATACTATATTTACTATACCAATGGGGACAGCTTGATGGTTGGATACAAATATTGCCACTAAAAACATCGCTAACATTATCATTATAAGATTAATTTGATCACACGATATAATTTTGTGCATTGTATAGGTACCTACATTATTATAATAATAAAATGATATATAACAATATTATTTGTACTTATATTGAAATGTCTTTAACAAATATGTAGGTATCTATGCGTGAGCACTTAATTATTGATCGTGTAAGTTATTTTAAAAATATATCTATTACCTTAATAAAATATACAATTGGGTTGAAGGTCGGTCAATAAAATACTAGTTGTATGATAGCCTACCTATTCATCAAATTGCTGTATTTATGTGGCATTTATATGGAATTATGCATTCATATATCCTTCCATAGGATACATAAATTATTATTTGTTGAGACATTTATTTCTTTAAATTTTCTCTCCGCAGTTTCTATTTCACGAATTAATTAAGTACTTATATAAATCCTAATTTAAATAAATCATCTCAATCTGTTTTGATATACTTAATTGGACGGAGAATTTATGAAAGCATCGATAAAGCTGTCGCAGAGTTTAATTTTATAATTAGTAGATTAATGACAGATTATCTATTTCATAGTGAATTGTATTAGATACTTTCTTTTAATTTGACTACTATTATTGATACTGATTTTTGAACTAGTAGTTGTAGTTTATTTTACATATGAGGGTAGGTATTTTTAAACAGAATGTTTAAATTCCCTTAAAAAATAGCTTTGAGTTTATGAGTATGGATGGGATGTTTGTTATTCTATCTCACGCAAAAACTACTTAACACATTTTAATGAAACTTTACAGTAATATAGGTTATACATCAGAATAACACATAGGCTATGAATTTCATGCGTTATGGTTTGAAAACCTTGCTGTTTTTATTACATACGGTTTTTTTATCTTGAATAGTTTCTAGAGTATTCAACTCTGGAGAACACATGTCTATATACATATCTGTCTTTAAGGAAGGATAATTTTAACGTGAAAATATAACAATGAGATAGTAAAGAGGTTAATCATCGTGTCATGATTATCTTATCACCATAAGAATAAAAAGATAACAGTCTTAATCTTGTCAGCTTAATTTATTTAAGAAGTACGTATCAACTCAATTATGTATATAGTTATATACAATATACGTACCATGTTTTATCACTTTGTAGGTATTGGCTGTATCATGGACTATAAAACTAATTTGTACCGAATCAGAGTATTGACAACTTAAAGAATAATTTAATATTTAAAACGTTGGGGGCTGTACTAGTGTGACAAAGTTTTTTTTTTAAATTATAAACTGTAATTCAAATGGAAAATATTTAAATTTAAACTGCAGGTTTGACTTCTGGTAAACTTTTAATAATTTTAATAATAATAACTTTGGAAAATTCACACCGCTATCTAGTACCGAGTTAAGCTGAGTTTGTGTTATTGAAGTGTCAATAACACATATTCTGCTTAGTGAGACAAGTGATATAACTTAAATATATTTAATAATATAATTTAAACCTATTTTTTTTTGTAAATTCATACATAATATACACAGGATTTTTAGTAATATGGGCCAACCCCATTGGTAACAATGTACCATGTCAGGTTGACCTCCACGCGGTTCCTGCAAAACCATCATGATAAATTCCTGGTGAATTTGTCACGATGATCTAACTGACCTCATATTCACTTTATCATCCTACACTGGTGCACCACCAGCGTTAGCGCAGGCGGGTGACCATTCCATTATCATTCTTTAAAAAAATGCCTCGGATTCTGAGACAAAAGTCGTATGTATATTTTGTTTGTATTTCACTCATAACAATGATGTGAGTTCTCGGTCGTGTCCTGAACTAATTTTGCCGTAATCACAGCCGTGTTTTGAAGAACTATTACCTATGATTATGTGAGACACTACTGTTTTATAAATAATTACAAACTTGTTGCCTAACAAAAACTTCGTCAATTTTCTACGGACACTTTCGAAAATTTAATTGAATTATAATTGGCGTACAGTATAGATAACGCATACGGAAGCGTTTTGTAATATTCGTCCGATGTGCGTGACAGACGTACGGAAAATGGGACCGTCCCATTTGAAACAGTCTTCCGACATGTGATTCAGTTTAGTCGGTTATACAGGAAATAATAAACATAAAAAATGAAATTGAAACTCTTTTTAAAGTTGTGACTTTAAAAGGAGTTTCAATTACATTTCAAAAAGAAATTTGAATATAAAAAAAAACACAGCACCATCTAGTCAAATTAAATCAAAATCAAACTAGACATTTTACTAGACAACTGATAGAAATAATATTTTTTTTAATTAGTAAATGCATACATAATATATATATACAAAAACAACTAGCCCAGTACAAACAGATTAAATCACAATAAAATTATTTGGATAATGCGGGGATCGAACTCGGATCGGAGATAAGAGCTTCTATAATTTCTTTTGTCTGTTCTGAATTCTTTTTTATGAAACATGTCGAATAATTATTAGTCAATTTCAACAATAATTATTTGACATTTTTCATACTCCATTTTCTAATATATTAAATACGAGGGAGAGCTTAGTATGATAATGAAACTATGTAATAATTTTAATTAATTAAATAATACTGCCTGGTAAAGATTAGCATGGTCAGTAATTAAATAAATTAAAATACGTTGACTTCGATCGAATTATTAAAAACAACATAAAAACTAGCCAGTGCATACGAACTAATCAAATAAAAACAGAATACTTAAATCCGTATATTCTGCATATAAAAAAAAATACAGTCGAATTGATAAACTTTTTTTGTAGAAAACACAATCGAATTGACAACCTCCTTATTTTGAAGTCAGTTGAAAATTTATTATGCTAAGCAACTTCCGATACTGACTGTACCAACGCATGTAAATCTTGCAACATGCATTTTTTTGCTAACATTACTGTCGTGTAATCATTGTACTTTTTTTACATAATGGACACGCTTCTGAGATGCTCGTGCGCTGTAAATGCGCAAAACGGCCATAAGCACAGTTCCGAGTAATGCACGACTGCTATTTAGTACTAACGGTTCAGTACGCGCAGTGAAGTTTTTGTGTGAACATTATATATATCTTACTCGACCAGATGGGCTATCAACACACAAAAGCAATGTATTTAATGTTTTTAATGAACAATAAGTTAAAGAACTGCAGATTATTTTGTTCTTTTCTCTCGGCGGAATCTGCATTTTTTATGTAATAAACAAGCTGACGTTTCAGTTCATGATAAGTGATAACCGTCATCTATATGAATAGATTTACGGACACCACATTATCCTGTGATACCCGAGAAACCACTCATGCGTTGCCGTTTCGAAGACTAAGATTCTATACGTCTTGTCATGTAATTTTACTGCCTAAACGCCCTAAAAGACAAACATAGGTTACAAAATACTTGGCTCCTGAAATAAGTTAAATTAAGGCAACACACGCAGACGACGACGACTTTTTACAGTCTAACTCTACCATAAACTATACTTCATATTTGAATTCAGTCTTCTCGAGTGAGTTTCCATTCTGAATCTAGCGTTAAAAATATAAACAAGTACCTAGCATTCATAATTATTTATAATTAATTATTTTTTCAAATTATTTCTGTTCCAATTGAAATTATGGCCCAAGCCGTAGAAAAATCTAAAGTCTCAGGCTATTAACACAGACCCCGGTCTGGGTTAATAGCCTGAGACTAGCTTGGGAGCTATGCCAACATCCACGTCAGATCCAGTCTTCATTATTACATTGTTGCAGTTATTTAACCTTTTTGACATGTAAGCTGGTTTTACTCTGGCATAGTTTTTAGCTTAATGTTATATATTAAAACCATAACCTAACCATGCGGGCAAGCAACAGATGTAACTAACAATGCTGCCGCCCATTAGTCTCCTGATTATGCTCTTTTCTCTCTCACATTTGTTATTACAATAAAGGAGAATACAAGAAAACTAATACATCTATCTAAAGCTTGGCAATAAACTGAGAGTAATCTTAGAGTTAATACAATTTTTAACAGGACACGGATTTTATAATACATTCCTGAAGCGTTTTAAATTTGTATGTAATTAAACGGCACCCGCGCCGGGGGTCTACCGGTTTAGCCTCCGTCTTACTTCACATGGTCGCGGTTTCGATTACTTGCACGGTACAAACATTTGTATTCTTGAGTATGATTGTTGTATCATTCTATGTGTTTATAAATATATTTGTACCGGGTTAGGAATCGAACTCGCGAATATTGGGAGTCAGGAACACCGCTTAACTGCTAGATCACCGAGGTCGATATATATAAAGGCCGATGTATAAGAAAACAATTGGTCAAGTATCTTGCTGATCCACTTCATCCGTTACATTAAAAAGATGTTATCTCAATTGACGCATCAGATCGAGTTAACAGAATGACGCGCGCCTCACTTTAGACCAGTCGGCTATAAATAATACAGTAAATACGTACTTGTTTGGGTGACACAACACACACAACACATGCGTAAATCGAGATTTTTGGGATACAACCATATCATTTAAGAACCCTAGGGCCTATCTTATTTTTTTTTATTTTTTCAGACCATTGAAGATGGTGATATTCATATGGTGAGATCTGAATTTAA